AAGAACCTCTTAATGAGGGTGAAAGAGGAGAGCGCAAAAATGGTCTGAAGCTCAACATCAAAAAAAATAAGATCATGGCCACTGAGCCCATCACCTCCTGGTAAATAGAAGGGGAAGAGATGGAGGAAGTGACAGATTTTACTTTCTTGGGCTCCATGATCACTGCAGATGGTGACAGCAGCTACAAAATTAAAAGACCCCGGCTTCTTGGGAGGAAAGTAATGGCAAAACTAGACAGCATCTGAAAAAGCAGAGACAAAGGTCCGCATAGTCAAAGCTATGCTTTTTTCAGTAGCGATGTACGAAAGTGAGAGCTGGACCATAAAGAAGGTTGACTGCCAAAGAATTGATGCTTTTGAATTGTGGTGCTGGAGAAGACTCTTGAGAGTCCCCTGGACTGCAAAGAGAACAAACCTATCCATTTTGAAGGAAATCAACCCCATGCTTACTGGAAGGACAGATCCTGAAGCTGAGACTCCAATACTTTGGCCATATCATGAGAACAGAAGACTCCCTGGAAAAGCCCCTGATGCTGGGAAAGTGTGAAGGCAAGAGGAGAAGTGGACGACAGAGGATGAGATGGGTGGACAGTGTCACCAAAGCTACCAACATGAATTTGACCCAATTCCTGGAAGCAGTGGAAGACAGGAGGGCCTGGTGTGCTCTGGTCCATGGGGTCACGAAGAGTCGGACATGGCTTAATGACTAAACAACAACACATAGTTGCCTCAACTACTCCACTAGACTGAGGTTAGCTAGAGATCATGTTGTTGGCCCCAAGGGACCACTCACTTTTCATCACTGTGTCATGAACTAAAACTAGAACTGCAGTTCTAAGATATTATACTAACTTCCAGTCGAACAATAACTATTCCTACACTACACTATTCAAAATCAGTTTCCAAAGAAGTTAATGTTTTTGTTTGTCTATGCATAAAAAAGTAAAAGACAAAACACTGAAGCATATTAAAGACAAACAGATTAATTTCAATGTGCCCTTTTGTGGATCAAATCCACTTCTTTAAATACAGTTCTTGCATGTCTGAAGCAGTGGACTTTGATCCATCAAAAGCTCCCACTGAAATACATCTACAAGTCCTAAAGTATTTTGCCTTTTCTTTTTGCGTTTTACTTTTGTCGCTATTGAAACCAGTTTTTCCCAACATTTCCAAACTACCTTTTCTTAACAGAAGTATTATCTGTAAACCATTACCACCCCATTTTGTTTTTTTTTAAGTTTGCAGACCTTTCTGTGCTGATGTTCTTTAAAGCTCAAGGGCTCTATGACCAGAGCAGGCAAAGTGAAGCCAACACTATTTGCATGGCCTCCAGGCTTCTGTACTCCCTCATTTCCCAGTAATCATGGTGAACGCCGGCTCCTGAAGCATCCAGAAGTGGTGATTCCTTTAAGCAGGTCAAAGGGCTCTGCTGCTCCCATTTAATGACCCCAAAATACCTATTTATCAAAACTGGAAGTCAACTTTTATATACTTCTGGTTTCTTTTCTCTCCTTTTTCCCATTGGACAATCTTTGCAACCTCCTTAGGGTCCAAAAGGCAGAATAATGTTGCTTAGATCTAGCAAAATTGCCCACCCCTGCTTAAAAAAAGACTCAGGCAAAATCACAATGTATTCAGAGTACTGTAACAAAAACCCGGTCGCTTTCAGACACAGAAGAATAGCCTTTCTTGAGACATCATGTCTAGTGTTAAGCCATAGGACACACAAGGAGCGGACTGGATAACTCAGTGAATTGGAGGCCCAGGAGTCAGGAAGCGGATTCCGGACTGTCTTGTCAAAAGGCCAGCCTGTGGGATCTTGGGGCAAGCTGCAGAGCCCCAGGGCGACCCCGGAAGAAAAGAACGGCAACCATTTCAGAAGCGACCTTAGGGCACGGAGTTATGACTACGAGACACGTCGTAGGCCTTCGCCTCAAAATCCCCTTTCAGGGCAACGATCCCCCGCCCGCCGCCCATGCCTCCGTCCCTGAACTACTCGGCTCCCTCCTGCCTCTCCCGAGGCACTGCCTCTCCATTGTCAAGAACCAGCCTAGTTGGCTTCGAACAAAAGGATACGATGGGCTGCACCATCACCTTCTGTACTTTCTGGCCCTGCCCGCGGTACGCCATGGCGGTGGCCCTAGAAAGCCGATCACGATCCTCCGATCCAACCCCTTACCACGCTCACGCTCTCTTTCACAGACACACACCCGCGCGCGCGGCTTTACGTTCTCCTAACGCACCACAGCCACTTCCGCCACCAAACAGGAAGTACGTTCTGGATTCCGCTTGGGGCGTAAAAGGCGGTACGTGTCACGTGACATTGTGTCGTCATTCCACGTTCTTTCTTTTTCCGCCATAATGCTTCCGGGCAGGGTTGGCCAAGACAGGCGACGGGCGCCATCTTGGAGGAGGGCAACGGCGGTTTCCGACGCCAACGGCTGGAGTTTTGTCTCTGGTCGCGACCTAGGAGGCAGGAGCTCGGCGGGGCGAGGACCGGCGGCCTGGCGTTGGCGGCTCGCTCTTGGGGTTCGGTAAAATCCCTGCGCGCGGGTGACAGGGACCTGGGGCCCCTCCCTTAGTCACGGAGAGACGAGTGGGGAGGAGGGGGGTGTCTCCCAGTATATAATTTGCTGTGTTTTTCTCCCCGGAGGCGGCTTCCAGCAGGCCCGCAGCCTCCTCACTGGCTTGACGGTGTTTACTTCTGTAGCCTCTGCCC